AGTGTACTTAAGAAGTTATATATAATGGATTACTTAGAAATTACATAACAATTTCTTTTTAATAAACAAAGCTTAATAGTATTAAAAATTCATTCCTTTACATTACTCTATCAAAACTGCATAGGCAAGTTATTACCTGGTTTAGGGTTTAGTTATTACCCTAGACCCTAAACCTGGCTTGAAATTTCATGGTGTAAATGGTTTAACGGTTAACTAAGTTGACTTTCTCGTCCAATCCCACACAAACTACATAATTGTTTCGATCAATATGGGGACGAGGGGTGCACCAGTTGAACTGGATATCAAGCATGATAAGCAGTGCTTGGTGAATTGAGCTCCTACCTCATAAAAGATTCAGATTGAATATCACCAGCTCAGAACTTCATTGACTCAGAAAACCTAAAATTGCTTAAAACTAGAGAGTACACTGTCGGCAGAAAGAATCCATGTTTGCGTTTCCAAATAGCATGATGCAGGGATAACCTGAAATGATCTGTGACTGCTTTTAAGCTAGGTAGGCATGTAGTTGACAAACACATAGCTACCCACAGCGACGAAAGTGACACGGTACAGATCGATAGACCCTCGTTCCCGACAAAAAACTACACTCGCAAAAAATAAAACGAAATTGCATGCAGACCCTCCTAACTAGAAACGAAGTGCTGATGTCATAACGTATCAGCCTACGGTCACTTAAGTTTCAACTCGACCTAAGAATATGCATTTGCAAAGTTGGACCTAAGGATCGGAAACAATCAAAGTTGGAAACCATGCAGAACACCAACCCGGGGCTGCCAAGAGATCCCCAGAACGCCATGAAATCGGGCAAGTGGAGGGGTGTTAAGGAGTTAACAGACGAGGGATATAAGAGAGCAGGATCGGATGGGAATTGTGAAATCCGGTTCACCGCACTAAAGAGAGGAGGGGGCACTGAGCAGAAACAGATATCGAAAGAGCAAGAGAAGAGAGGGTGAGAAGACCATACACACAAACCTGGGAGGTGAGGGGTTGCAGTGCAAGTGACGTGGGGGTTGAGAAGGCAGTGATGCGTTCGTTAGATAGCAAGCATCGGGAAGAGAAGGGGTGGCGACAGTCACGAGAGGCATAAAGAAGAAGGAAAGGGAAATGAGCGGAGGCGGAGGGCAAGGCAGTGCTAGGCAGAGCAGGGTTAGAGAGGGAGGATGAGGGTTAGGGAGGAGGGTGCATCTTGGAAGGTGTCAAAGCTGCAAGACTTTGACACCTTTCTTCTTTGTCCCAAGCATGGTCACCAATTTTTCTTGTTCATATTTGTTATAATTTTACTTCATTCTTTTCTTTTAGTGAATATTACTCTTTGTAGAATGTTTATAATTTAGCATTTATATACATTTATTTTTTCTGATATCTAAAATGACTTCAACATACCTAAATTTGTCAACCTTAAAAATAACCAATTGGTAGGAAATGCTTGACCATTTTACTTAGTTTTGATTTTCTGGAATAGTAATAAACTCAGCTTAATCCAGTTGTCTTGGTTTTCAAAAGAAGGTTTGAGAGACAAATGAATAAAAATATTTATTTATTTATTATTATTATCATTGTAATTTCATGTCTGTGTTGTGTACTTCTATAAAAAAAAATTTCTTCAAAGATTTTGTTTTATACTATCTAAGTGTATTTTGCAAAAATAATTGGCACTATATTCACTTATACATACAGTGACAAACAAAACCGAGTACAAAATCTGAAGTGCCAACTTTCAAGAGCAATTACAGAAATTTCAATGATTGCTTTATAAATCTGAAAGTTACATGGAATAATACACACAATCTTGTACACATGTACAAAGTTGCACATCAAATTGATAACTAAACATCCTTCTACAAAGTCAAATCAACAACTATGTCTTGTACTCAGTATTGTTCAAAGAAAATCTTCAAACTTCAATATTTAGTCCAATAACCTTTTGCTTCCAAAACATCTGAAATCCTTCTTGGCATACTTTTGTATAGTTTCTCACAATCTTTTGCATCGAAACTAGGGTAAATACTACAAACATTCTCCCACAATTCTTGAACACCTCTTGGCCTTGGAGTGACTTGGCTTAAACGCTGTTTGAGAAGGGCCCAAAAATGTTCCATTGGATTCAAATCTGGAGATTGAGCTGGCCATCGAAGGAGCTGAAATGGCTGTGAAGAGAGCCAAAACTGAACACTTTTTGCCATATGTTTGGGATCATTATCATGTTGAAAAACCACCTTAGTAGGATCTAAGTTGTAATTCTGTGTGGTACTTTGCAAGTAGATTTCTAAAATTTTTTTGTACAAGTGTTGCTCCATTCTACCTTCAATTTGATACCAAGCACCCAACCCAAAAGCAGTCATACAACCCCAAATCATAATTGAACCACCACCATGTTTGACAGTTTGACTAACATGTTTAGGTCCAGGTCGTTTTCCTTCTCTCAACCAACACCAAGACCTACCATCTGACTTGATTAGGTTAATCTTTGTCTCATCACTGAAAATAACCCATCTCCAATCATCAATGGTCCAATTTTTGTATTTATGAGCAAAACTCAACCTTACAAGAACATGTCTTTTGGCAAGTAGAGGCTTCTTTTGTTGCACACAAGCATCCAAACCAGCTTCTCTCAAACCACGCCTCAAGGTGATGTCTGAGAAGTGTTTACCTGTTTTTTCTCGAAGTTGTTTTGCAGCTGCACTTGCCGTTTTGAGACAACCAGTAGTGACAAGGTGCACACCAAGTTGCTTCTCTTGCTCTCCTAAAACCTTTGGACGTCCTCTTCTTTGCTTTTCTATTTCACCACTAATCTCCCTCCTCAGATGAGCTACTGAAGACTGATTCATTCCAAGTGAGTCTGCAACTTTTCTTGTAGAAACACCACTCCTAAGTTGCACCAATGCTTGGTGCTTCAATGATTCACACAACTGAGGCATAGAGATACAATTGACAAATCAACTTTCACTATAGATAGTACACAACAAGAGCAACACAACAAACAAAAAATGCCCTCAAATCTTACAACAAGGAGTGTACATTGAAATTTCGAAATTCAGCAAGAAGAAGCAACCAAAACTGAGTACGCACGTCTGTGTGCTTCTACAACACTTTTCTCATAAACCCTACTTCAAATGATAATGAGATTTTTCATCCATGTAGAGGACTGGATGAATACACACAATAAAAAAGTAATTCTATCAATTGACTTATGTGTCAGTTGGAAGGATCAATGAACTATGAGTGTTCAGATTTTGTACTCAGTTTTGTTTGTCATTGTATATGTATATATATGTATGTATATAAAATAAAAAAATACTCTTGTAAATGATATTTAATTTCCATAATAATATTGAATTTCACAATTTACTTGATGATGTAGCAAACCTTGTTATTAATTTTCTATGTTATTTTACTTTTTGTATAATTATTCATATATATATATATATATATATATATTACTCCACAAAAACATTATTTGATTACTAGAGCAATTCTACTAATTTTTAGCTTTTTAAAATATTTTTAAAGAACAACTATTAATTTAAATACATTGGTATAAATCCTTGGTTAATAGAGTAATGATATATATATATATATATATATATGTGTGTGTGTGTGTAGGTGTGCATGCTTTTAAAAAATTAACCTAATTACAATTAATTTGTTTTAAAAGTAGAACTGAAAATAATAACAAAGACTAAACTACTAAACTACGAATCAATCAGTGTGTGTATTGTTTTAGTTTTTAATTCTAATTTAATGTATGTATCAGTTTTTCTATTTTTTTATTAATGTTTTACAAATTGTATGAATATAATATTTCAAAGAATAACTTAGTATAACTTGGAAAGGAATTGAAGACTTCTCAAGTGTTATTGAACTTTAATGTAGTATGTCTGGGTCTGTATTGTTTCTAACTTTTGTGAAGGTTGTATATTAGATTGTATATAGATGTTTCAGAGTTACTTACAATTAAAGAAATAATACTTGTATGGTGATAATTTTTAATATTAATTTGCATTAAGAATTTGCACATATTCATGTAGGTGACTTATAAATTTGATACTGGAATAGAAAACAATCTGCTTCTTGTTTACTTTGAGGTACAGACTGGTTGGTTAATTATCTTGATCCCTTTATTGTTTTTCAGAAAATAATTCTTTTAAGCAGTATTTTTGAAAAACACTTTAAATCAAAACTGAAGATATATGATATTACTATCTCTAGTATTGGAATGTATTGTTAATGTTAAAAAAGTAAATGCTACAGCATTATGGGTTTATAGATATTTCAACGTGATAGTTTGATGTCGTTCTTGTTAATAAAATGACATCAAAATCTTGTGTTGACTGTCTCTAAAACATACTTCAGTCATAATTTTTGTAACATCACATAAAATGTTGGAGTAGTAATGTGGTTATTCTGGAATAAATCATCATGGTTCTCCAGTACCAGTTGTAATGCTGGGTAGAATTCAATTTTAAGTCCAGGCTTGTTATTCTTTCTTAGTTTCTTTCTGAAATAAGGCTGACCAATCAACCAAATAGGATAGCATTATATTTACTTTTCAAATTGTTTTAATCCTAAAGTGTGCTACAATTACATATTAATTTATAAAGTTTTTGCCTTTCAAGATTTAACTCCAAATACTTAATTACACCACCACACCACTATTCGCAGGCCATTCCATGTGTCCTTTCATATCTCTAACAATTAGTGTATTATTTGTTTTATTTGATGATTGCAATTGTTGTCACTTTTCATGTGGAAAAGAACAAAAGAATAAAATGATTCATGTACCTATTCGAGAGACTCCTAGACAAGTGATGTTGATTGAAAACATTATCATTTTGCTGCAAGGTAAAATGAGACCCAGAAATTCACAGAGAAACTAGTTCATCTCAGTGAATACAAATCATAGAAAAGAAACACCGAATTTCAAGCATGAAAAAGAATCAAGCAAGTACCAACTCAGCACCCATCTCTAAATCCACCGAACCTAAGCCTCAGGCTCACACCAATAGAACCGACTCCCAGCCACAAGGTTCGAGCCTCAGGCTGGGGCCGGAGCTGAGACAGGAACTCATTCAGTCGGGATCATTGCCGGGAAAGAGTGTTAGGGTTTCGCAAGCCCCTGTTTGGTGCTTGTGCCCCTGGTTGTGGCGATGCTGCTATTGTAGGAGTGATACGCAAGCTCAATTTGTGTGTCGAAGTACAAGCGGATGACGCTGCAGTGCTATGGCATGTTGGGTTTTTTCTGGGGTTGCTGTATCTTGCGTCATCTGTGAGGGCGGGAGCGGTCACAATGGAGGGCACTCTGAATATTGCGCAGAGGACGAATAAGGTGGATGTGGACAATCGACTGCCATTAAAGTATTATTACCGGACGGCAGAAAATCTTCTGAAGCAGGTGCCGGATCGGATCGCCGGTTTTTGGAGCAGCGTGATGGTTCTTGGTTGAAAAATTAGGGTATTTGTTGTTACTATTTGAATAAGGTTCACGGTGTGTAGTTAATTCGGGGCTGAATTGAGTGGGTTTCAGGCTCGGATTTTTCGAGATGCGGGGAATACTATCGATTACTACATTCTCCTGCTTCGATTTTCCAGGTGAATTGCGTGTTTGTCCAGTTTAGAAGTGATTTGAAATTTGAGGATTGGAAATGTATTACTTTTATATTTATTTTGGTGTGAAGGTATTTATGATTTTGAATTTGCGGGTCAAGCTTTGCAGTTGGTTTCATGAGGAATTAGCCGTGATCTCTGCAATTTCTAACATACATGGTCATATTTGAAGTATTAACGCTGTATCCTGCATTTAATTTGAGGTTATTATTTTATGTCCACATGCATTGCATTACTTACGTGCAATATATAACTTTCACGATCTGTTAGCCTAAACTACAGATCTATTCATAGCATGAAAGAGGTGCACGGACCAAGTATATTATCTTTGTAGAACTTTCGAAAGAACACTTCCGTGTAATTCAGATTATCCTTCCCCAGGTCGGGGTGACTTATGAGAAGATTGTGAATCCATTTCAAGCATCAGTTTCAAATGACGAGCCCTGTTGGGTTACCTGGTGAACAAGAGATGAAATGGAAGTTAAGAGCAGCAATCACCTTTGACCCTGGGACCTTGACAAAAAATCTCGCAACCTTCACTGCCGTCGCCTTCTCTGCCACAGTCCTTTACGTCGTGTTCAGCAAGATTAAGAGACCTCAATATCATCACATGGAAAGTCAAGTATCACTTTCCGTCGACGAGGATACATCTGATGAAGATCACACCTCTCAATGTGAGGTTCTAAGTCCAACCTCCGTTGTTGGCTGTAGAAATGAAAGCTTGGAACCTGACAACGCGATGAGCCCTGGATTTCTGATTGAGGATATTGAACCTTCTCGCAGTCTCGACTCTTCTGTTCGCGTGAACACGTTTACTGAGGGACTCGAGAGTGAAAACCTAACCATGAGTGGAATTTCTGATTTAGAGATCCAATCTTCAACGGCTACTACGGCGTCTGGTTCCGGTGCAGCTGATGTTGATAGATCAGCTGGCAGACTGTACAGCAATACAGCAGAGAAGAAAAAATTGACTTCCAACATGACACCCTTAAAAAATTGTTCCTCTGACTTCAACATGGTGTCGGAGGCTATCATTGACAGGTACATGGTGAGAAGTGGAGACTGGGGATCACAAATTCAGCCATCAGCTAGTGCAGAATCTGGTCCCGGTTCATCTGACGATATCAACGAGGCAGCTGCCAAGTTGGCCGATTTAAGCGTGTGTGAGATTCCTCTAATTTAACGTCCATCTCATGCGAGTGGGGCACCGGTTCGTATTTCAAAATCTAATGTTGTGTCTACAGGATTGTCGACTTCTGATCAGCTGTTTTGTTTTTTGTGAGAAATGCTGTGAAGCTCACAATGAACCTGGTTTGACAATAGAGAATGCTCACCTCCGTAATGAATTTATTTCCACGAGAACCCAGGTAGATCTTTGTAGACGCCCTGAAGGTAAGTCACCTGAAAGAAGCCGGAAATTATTGGATGGATGTGATGAAGATGGTGCAGAGGATATTAAGTTTTAAACTGTCCCAAAATGTTATGTCTCCTATTTTTCTCAGGGACATTCAAAAGCAATTGGTAAGATGAATGAGAAATCTTCATATGCCAGGTCCTGAAACCGATTGCCAATTCAAATAGTCAGGGTATGTCTTTGAAAGTGATAGAATGGCACAGGAACATCTCCTACTTCTGTTACGTCCAATGGATTCTGAGTGAACTTGAATTAGTCTACCACCTAGCTCATCTTACATTTTCAAACCAAGAAAGTGAAAAGTGGAGTATCAACCTTGTGATCGACATGTTGCAAGTCAAGTCCTTGTTCTTATGATCTATCATTACCCACAGGGGAGCGTTGACATTATGAACAGAGGAGCCAATTCGTCAACCCCACAGTGAGGGTAAGTCTCAAGATTGCTATGCATTTGGGTAATACCTGAATGATTGCGACACTAAAGGAATTCACAATTGTCAAACAAGAATCTAGGTGCTAACGTTATTAGCATTGAAATTGTTAGTCATCAAAGAGAAATTTGAAAGCTATCAAAGCATGATTTGAATTCAAGACGTAATACTCAAATTTTGTGATAGGACCAGATTAGCGAGACCTTTGCAGCATCGATGAATACGATAGTCTTTGAGAAAACACAAAAGTCAAGAAGACAAAAACAAGGTGGAAGATGTTGCCATAATGTCCTTAGGAAACTAGAGAGAATCCCAAAACAGTGTAAAGATGGTCTACTTTTGAGACTGTGGAGATGTTGCATTTATGAATTTTTGAATCAATGAAGTGGCATGCACTCTGCAGCTATCTTTTGATTCCACTCCGCCATAAATATCAAGTGCCAAGCTTTGAAATACATTCTTGTCAAGAACCTGATCTGCTACCTTCTATAATGAAGAGGAAAGATGTATTTGGATGTATTTTCTAATATTTATAGCAGGTGTTGTCATTTCTTCTCTACCATTGATGTTGGAGTAGTGTTTTGTGGACAAAGATAAGATAGATATTCCATTTCTAATAGTTAAAGCATTTTAGATTATATCCAATAGGTGTCGAAATAAAAAAAATTATCCTCATAAATATAAATTGGGAGGATTCCAAAGTATTTTCACAAAATTTGGCCTAAAAAAAATTTTATATAAATGTTTTAGTTGAAGATTTTTCTTAGATCCATTTTGGACATATATGCCTATTTAATTCCAATTGGTGGTTGATTACAAAACCAAGAATCTAATTTTTATAAAATTGTGATGTGTAGCACCTATTAATGCTATTAAATTTTATCTAATTTCATGCTATACACAGATGTAAATGTGTGGATGAAGCTACAAAAAATCAAATATCTTATTGTAAGTAATCTACCATGTTTGAGTTGGATTTTTGCTGCCATTCTTCCTTATTCCTACTCAATTCAAAATAGTATCTAATACATCTTTTATCTTTTGATTTCATTCCAACAACTTCTTTAAGATCTTTTTTCAACATGAAGTTGCATAGGCTATAGATGAGATATTAAAAATTTGTGAGATTTGTATTGATAGAAGGTTCTTGTAATTGTAATATGGATTGTATAGAGTTAACTTAGTATTGAAACAAGCTCCAAAACAACAAATAACAGTTGCTCATAAATTGCAATTCTGGTGTCTACATGTACTGATTAAGCCTCAAATTATGTAATTCCTTTATACTCTATGTTGGACTCTTGATACAAACAAGTTCCATATAAGACCTTCTCACAACATTGAACAAGATTAATGACACCTCTATAGTACCAAATTGGATGGACCTCCCCTCTTTCCTCCATCTCTCTTCTCTAGTGCCAACTTCGATGAACAACACTCTTGTAATACCAAATCTAATAAAAGACTCTTTTATAATATTGACATGCCCTAAATTTTTCTTTGCAATGTCAAGAATATTTTTAGAATTTTGCTTGTAACATCAACCTTGTTTGGACATCACTACGCACTCTATGTAGAAATGAGGGAGTTAGATTGCTTTAATGGTTTGTGCAATCTTCTAAATAGCTATAATGCACAAGATTCAATCTACAAAGCTAGATAAGCTTGGCATAACAATTCTTTTTACTCTTGCAAATCCTAGTGTTGTGTCTCCTTAGCACAAGCAATTGCTTCATATATGACTAAGTAGAAAGATTCTAGCTTAAATACCTTGCAAGTGTATCTTTGTACCAAAGCATCTTATTGAAGTATCTTGCAAGTGTATCTTTGTGCCAAAGCATCTTATTGAAGTATCTTGCAAGTATATCTTTGTACCAAAGCATCTTATTGAAGTATCTTGCAAGTGTATCTTTGTGCCAAAGCATCTTATTGAAGTAACTTGCAAGCTTATTCTTTTACCATTGCAACCTTATAAGCTTCTCTTAAAAGCCTCCTCTCTACCATATCTACTAATCTTTTGCATTTTGATTCTTTCTATCAAATTGGTTTTTTTTTTTGTTTATTTATTTATTTTTTTTTTTATGATTATGATATTCTATTTTTTGCACAATATCTCAATGGTTAGTATTAAAAATTTAAAAAAATCTACTATAGGATCCATGTTACGTCTTCTTACGCTAGGCATATATGTGATAGTAGGTGGCATTAGGAAGTAATGTTGTATTGTAATACAACCATTAGATGAAAGAAGAAAATAAAGATTATATTATAGATAATCTTAAATGAAACTATTTTTGTAAATTATCTTAAAAATATAAATAATAGACAAGGAGGTGGTAAAAATTATTAAGTATTAATGCTATCTTTTTATAATAGATTCTTTTACTTACTTTGTAGAGTCATAAATAGCACAAATTTTTTAAAAAATGAAATAAATAATAAACTTAGGCATCTTTAGGAAAAAATTAAGAATATTTTTTAGCAAAAATTACCTTAAGAAATTAAGAATTGATATTCAAAGAAGAGTAGTTATGAACTTGAATAAAAATCAAACCTTAAGGCGCAAAATTGCACACTTATGGCTATTTTGGAGCTCTTTTGCTGATCAAAGAATATAATTAGAGAAAAGACTTTAAAATAATTGTTTAAACATAGATTTTAAGTGAAATAAATGAATATTGAGTTTTTAAGGGCTTTTCAAAGTGCAAGTTGCACTTAATAGTTTTGAATTTAGAGAAATGAAAAGAGGTTTACAAATTTGAGGATTATGTAAGTATTATAATAAATTTATAGGCAGAATTTAGTGAAATTATTATTGTACTTGTCTTAAATGAGATTAATAAATTTTATATCAATAAAGAAATTAGATTAAAGGATATTAGAGTAATATTGGATTAGAATCTTGAATATTTGAAATTAAGGTTAATGAGGGTTTTTTGCAATTCTAAAAAATAAACCAATTCGATTGGAATAAAATTTGATGAAAGCTATTTGAACTTAGATATTTACATATGAATCAATTTATAAAGCAATTGAAAAGTTTAGCAGGGAGAAATTACTGCTAAAATATCAACATTTAGATTGAAGAAGAAAAGAAACCAACATCAAAGAATTTGAGGAGTTGTTTGTTTCTATTAATGAGTTTGATTATACCAAACTTTTGTGTGCTTATTATTTTCTTTTGGATTAAAATGTGGGTAAAATCTTAGTTGAGATTAAAAGTTTGATTAATAATTATTAAGATTTTAAAATGGTTGTAAGAATTGAATAGAATTTACTTAGGATTTTTTTGAATTTATTTTCTTTTTCCATTGTTAACACCTCTTAAACTCCCCTTATTTTAGGAAGATTACATTCTATAACACCTTTTTTTTAAAGTTGTGTATAGAATATTATTATTTATTACTACTTTTTTTATGGTTCTATGTTCTTCATACTTTGCTTAGGTCGCTCTCATTTATTTATTAATCCAAAAAGAATTCTTTCTTATATTGATAGTGCTACTCAAGCATTGCTTTGATGATGGTGGTTGCAAATGTTGGTTGTTGACATATTATAAAGTTGTTCAAATGTGTGTGATGTCTTTTACATTAGGGTTGCTAAAGAACAATACTTGGCTCACTTGGTTCTCTATTCTTACTATTTTCTTGTCGTCAATTCTTCTTCAGCTCCATGTTTTCATACTTGTTTTTCTTTCTAGTAAAATCCTAAAAAATCTTAATAGAATCCATAAACAATTCTAATTGAATCCTAAATTTTTTTTGAACAAATTCTTAATAAATTCTAAGTATATATTAAATAAATTTTAAATAAATCTTAAATAAACCATAAATAAATCATAAATAAATTCTAACCAAATTCCTATAGCAATTTTAAATTTGTAATAAATATTAATCAAAATTTTGATTTTGACTAAATATTTTTTTACATTTTAATTTTTAAGAAAATAAAAAATACAATAAATTTGAAAAAAAATCAAATTTATTAGTTGAAAAAAAAAGAAAAAAAAAACTCTCAATATTCTCAAGAGTTGAATGTTTTTTTTGTAAACCTAAAGTTTGATCTTCTAGTAGTAATTACTCTTTGTTGAATTGTTCAATTGCTTTCTAAATTGACAAGAGTATAAAAATCTAAGTCCACTATGTATCTACTAAATTTTGCTTTATTTGAACCAATAGATTTCTAAAAGTCACAAAAAATCTCATTGACTCTAAAATACAAATATCCAAAATTCTAAACTAAAATAATTTATATATTCTTTAATTGAATTATTTGATTGAATTTAAATTTTTTAAAAAATATTTAAATGATTTAAAAAATTCTAAAATTAAAAATAATAACAAAGACTAAATTACTTAAGTGCCAATCAATCAATAAATGTATTATTCTAGTTTTTAATTCTAATTTAATGTATGGATCAGTTTTTTTTTTTTTTTTTTTTTTTTTTTTTTTTTGGTTAATATTTTACAAATTGTATGAATTTAACATTTTAAAGAATAACTCAGTATGATTTGGAAAAAAATTGAAGACTTCTCAAGTGTTACTGAACTTTAATGTAGTATGTCTGGGTCTGTACTGTTTTTAACTTTTGTGAAGGTTGTATATTAGATTGTATATAGATGTTTCAGAGTTACTTTCAATAAATAAATAAGATTTACATGGTGATAATTTTTAATCTTAATTTGAAGTTATTTGTAAGATATGTAAAATAAAACTTTGCACGTGTTTGTGTAGGTGACTTATAAATTTGATACTGGAATAGAAAACAATCTGCTTCTTGTTTACGTTGGGGTACAGACTGGTTCGTTAATTATCTGGTTTTACAAAAAATAATACTTTTAAGCAGTATTTTCAAAAAACACTTCAAAACTGAAGAAATATGATGTTACTAACTTTATCATTGGAATATATTGTTAAGGTTAAAAAAGTAAATGCTACAGTATTATGGGTTTATAAATTCATTATTTAAACATGATATTTGATGTCATTCTTGTTATTAAAATGACATCAAAATCTTGTGTTGACTGTCTAAATCATACTTCAGTCATAATTTTTGTAACATCACAGAAAATGTTGGAGTAGTAATTCTTGAATAAAACATTATGGTTTTCCAATACCAGTTGTAATGCTGAGTAGAATTCAATTTTAAGTCCAGGCTTATTAACTTGTTAAAAGAATCTCCATTCTTTCTTAGTTTTTTTTGAAATAAGGCTTACCAATCAACCAAAAAGGATAGCCTTATATTTACTTTTCAAATTGTTTTAATCATAAAGTGTGCTACAATTATATATTAATTTGTAAGGTTTTTGCCTTTCAAGATTTAACTCCGAAAACTTAATTACACCACCACACCAATATTCGCAGGCCATTCCATGTGCCCTTTCATATCTCTAATAATGAGTGTATTATTTGTTTTATTAGATGATTGCAATTGTTGTGGCTTTTGATAAGGAAAAGAATAAGAGGATAAAATGATTCATGCACCCATTCGAGAGACTCCGAGACAAGTGATGTTGATTGAAAACATTATCATTTTGCTGCAAAGCAAATCAAATGTTGGACTTAAGACAGTAGACCTGCAGTCAATCGACACATCCTTGACTTCAATTCCCTCTTGACATTGACAATCCGTGTCCATCTGGCACATTCTTGATACACAAATCACAACATCTTCACGGTAGGAGTGAGTACTATGAGATCCAAAAATTCATAGGAGAAACTAGTTAACCATCTCAGTGAATACAAATCATGGAAAAGAAACACCGAATCTCAAGCATGAAACAGAATCAAGCAAGTGCCCACTCAGTGCCCAATCTGTGTCTCCGCTTCCACAAACCCATCTCCTAATCCACCGATCCTAAGCATCAATCCTACTGCTGTGCTTGTTTTCGCCAATAAGAAACATCTGCGCGTGTCTTTCAAACTTAGTGCGAGAGGTTCTTTAGACTCAATACGTGACATGTCATAAGCTTATGTACCTTCAAATCCTTGATTGTTTCTCTCAGTTGATTGTTGGATTCTGTAAGCCCTTGAGCCTCAGCTCGAAGCTGAGTCAAGATACGAACAGCATCACTTAAGATAGTGGCTTTGTCAGTCTTAGGCGGTCGGCCTGATTCCAATATGGCACCCAATTCCAAGAATCTAAAAATATCGTAATTAAGTCCAAAACGTTACGAACTGTGAGGAAATTTCTCCACGCTTATCAGCAACTCAAGAAATTAGAGGCGGTGAAAAAGTGAAACAATTGGTCTTCTTCAGGATTTCAAATTATCTGAATTTGAAAATCATTCCCCAGGACTAAGGTGTATTTATTGAGTACATTTGGGCCTATCAGCCCCAGCATCAAAACTATAAAAGAACTAAAAAAATTGTCACTTCATCAATCACTCACAAAACTGCTAGATCTGGGCCATATTTTCTAAGTGCGATAAGAGTTTATAAGCACAAGTAGGCCACATCAATGCACTGATCTATCATT